CATATTCAGGCCTCAAGAGACCAAAAGTGACGACAGTTACACGTTGCGGATGACCCGTTCGGATTTGAACATGAAGTGCGGGCCCCATAGGGAGGGGGCTCCCGCTTGAGACTTCCTCGCAATTCACTCACAGACGAGGCTCCCGCCTGATACTTCCTCCATATTCAGGTCTCAAGAGCCCAAAGGTGACGACAGTTGCACGTTGCGGATGACCCGCTCGGATTCGAACATGAAGTGCGGGCCCCATAAGGAGGGGGCTCCCGCCTGAGACTTCCTCACTATTCACTCACAGACGAGGTTCCCGCCTGATGCTTCCTCCATATTCAGGCCTCAAGTCAGCGAGTAGTGATGATGATGATGATGATGATGATGATGATGATGATGATGATGATGATGATGATGATGATGATGATGATGATGATGATGATGATGATGATGATGATGATGATCGTTCGATGCCGATGATGGTGAGTGATCGTGCGATGGTGATGGTGATGCTGATGGTGATGATGATGATGAGTGGGGAGTGATGGTGATGGTGATGATGATGCGGAGGAGGAAGCAAAGAGGAGCAGAGGAGAGGGAGGAGGAGGAGGAGAGATCCTGCGCGGAGGGTGTGCAGAGAAAACAAGAACCCCACTTAGGATGTGGGGAACAAGAACCCCACTTAGGATGTGGGGAATGATGATGATGATGATGATGATGATGATGATGATGATGATGATGATGATGATGATGATGATGATGATGATGATGATGATGATGATGATGATGATGATGATGATGATGAGTATGTGAGTGACTGAGCGTGTGAGAGAGCGCGAGTGATGATGCTGATGTTGATGATGAGAGAGTGTGAGTGAGTGTGAGTGTGAGTGAGTGGTGATGATGATGAGTGAGTGAGTGAGTGTGCGAAGGCAGAAGAGGAGAGGGGGTGGGGTGAGTGTTCCTGCGCGGGGTGTGCAGAGAAAACAAGAACCCCACTTTGGATGTGGGGAAAAAGGACACACACACACACGAAGCCGAAACGTGCACAGGGAATGGACGCCCGAGCGATGGCGGGTACGTGGCTGGAAGCGAAAGCGGAGGAGGAGGAGGAGGAGGACGACGACGACGAGGAGGAGGGGGAGGAGGAGGAGGAGGAGGGGGAGGAGGAGGAGGAGGAGGAGGAGGAGGAGGAGGAGGAGGAGGAGGAGGAGGGGCGGCAGCCAGAGAACCGTCAGGGGGGGGCGGGGGCCTCGGGACCGTCAAAAAACGATTCAGAACGAAAAACCGGTCCCAGGGAATGGGTCGAGACCTCTGGGGGTCGCGTCATGAAAAAATCATGACGTCGGGGGTCTGGGCTCCCTGGGCACACGGTCCCAGGCACTGTTCCTCTGGAGCCTGGCGGCTGGGACGTGTTTGGGCGTGGCGCTGTATAGCCGTCCGGCGAAGCTGGTGGGGGGCAACAAAAAGAGGCCGGTGACGGGGGGCCCACTGCCAGTGCTCGAAACCGAAACAAAACAGTGAATGGACGTCCGAGCGATGGCCAGAGACGGTGTGGTGACGACGCCGGGTCTGGCGAGTCAGCGGGGAGCGGGGGCGGCCGCACGGGTTTGGGGCGCCCGTCTGGTGAGTCAGGGGGGAGCGGGGGCGGCCGCACGGGTTTGGGTCAAGTCGGGCATGTCCCTCCGCAGGAGGAATATTGAAGATTAGCAAAAAAAATAGTCTGGGGACGGTTCCTCTTCTTTTTTTGGGTTTTCCCGGAGAGGGCTTGGGCCCAGGGTTCTCTTTTGGTTGGTTCCCCCCCCGGCCCCGACGGGAGGTGGGCCGGCGGAATTGTTTTGCGATCAATTCTTGACGCTTCGCGTATCCCCCACCAGTGTTAGGCTTGCGCGTTGCTAATTTGACAGGCCCGTGGCCTGGACCTCTCAGTTCGGCGACTGCGAATCCGTATCCGCCCGCGACCAAAAAAAAGTATCCCCACCAGCCCATCCAGAAACGATCAGCAGGGGAGTTGGTGAATCAGGGGCGGCAGGACGCATGCGTCGCGCAGCCGTTTTCGGGAAAACAAGGATCACAAATAGCTTCCAGCATTGAAGTTTAAGATGGGAATCAGTGTAAGCTACGATGGTGCTTCGATGAGGGGTGAAGGGTGTTTCGATGACTCGTAATGGCTGTTGCACTGATTTGTATCTTAAGCCCGCGTGCGTTTCGAAACTTGGAGCCATCTTGGGGCTCTCTTGGGGTTCCCTTGGGGCCCTCTTGGGGCCCTCGTGGAGCTCTTTCTTAGGGCTCTCTTGGGGTCCTCTTAGGGCTTTCTTGGAGCCCTCTTGGGGCTCTTTCGGGGCGTCTTGGGGCTCTTTTGGGGGGTCTGGGGGCCTTCTTGGGGCTCTTTTGGGATGCCTGAGGGGCCTCTTGGGGCCGTCTTGGACCCCATCGCCAAAAAAGACGGGGGTCCTTAATTCCTGCCCACCCCTCGGAGGCTCAAACATGCCGTCTTGGGGCTCTCTTGGCCCGCTCTTGGAGCGCTATTGGGCGCTCTTGGGGCCGTCTTGGGGCCCTCTTGGGCCCCTCTTGGGGCTGTCTTGGGCCATCTATAGGCCATCTTGAGGCCTCAAGAGCCCAATGGAGGCGAAAAATCGAGACGGCAAAACACATTGATTTTCCTTAGGTTGTTGAAGGATTTTGGCCTTTTGGGGGGGTCCTTGGAGGCCTCGTAGGGCACTTGAAACCGTCTTGGGGCTGTCTTGAGGCCTCTTGGACGTGTGTCGGAGGCTATGTTGACCCATCTACTGCTATCTTGGGCCATCTTGGAGGCAATCTTGGAGTCTCTGGGGCCCTCTTGGAGCCATCTTGGGCCATCTCGGACGCTGCTATGGGTCAGACCCCCCCCCCCGTCCAAACCCAGGGAGAGGGGGGAGGTAAACCTCCCGAACAGGGAAAGGCAAGAGGTTGGAAAAGGAAACGCTCTAGACCACCTGCGCCCAGAGGGCTGGTGGGATTACAAGGTAAAGTGTGAATTTGCAGATGAACAAGTGCGTTATTCGCGTGCCCGCTCGGGGAAAGCTTGCCCCCCACCTCGGATCCTCGATACATAGCGGGGTCCGCAGACAATTGTTTTCTTTCGTAAAAGAGAGGGCGCGGCGCGTTTTGTGCGGAATTCGTAAGAAATGGCGAGGTCTGGAGACCCGACCAATTCACAGAAAAGGCCACCCAGGAGGTATCTAACATGGCGGTCCCGAGCTAGGATACTTTACATGATGGTCCTGAGCTGGAATCATGTGTTTTCACGTTTCCAGCCCACCCAGGGGGTATCTAACATGGTGGTCCCGAGCTGGAATCACGTGTTTGTACAAGTTCAGGCCACCCAGGGGGGTATCTAACATGGTGGTCCTGCGCTGGAACCGCGTCTTTTCAAGTGTCCAGGCCAACCAGGGGTGTATCTATCATGATGGTCCTGTACTGGAGCCGTGTTTTTACGTGTCCAGGCCGCCCAAGGGGGATATCCAACATGGCGTCGGGCCCAACGCCAAATTAGCAGGAAACGCACGGGGGGCCGAACAGCGCTTTACTGAACACAGATCTGACTACAGACAGGTATTGTGTTCTTGCTCTGTACAGGGGGTGGCGCTTTGGGGACCTCTCCAGGGAAGACGTTGCGAGGATGTCTCGAGCGGGAGCGCGACTTCAGCGTATCCAGGCCACGCAGGGAGTATCTAACATGGTTGTCCCGAGCTGGAACCACATGTTTTTACATTTCCAGGCCGCTCAGGGGGATATCTAACATGGTTGTCCCGAGCTGGAACCATGTGTTTTTACATGTCCAGGCCACCCATGGGGGTATCTAACATAGTTGTCCCGAGCTGGCACCACGTGTTTTTACGTGTCCAGGCCAGCCATGGGTGCATCTAACATGGTTGTCCCGAGCTGGCACCCACGGTTGTACGTGTCCAGGCCACTCAGGGGGTATCTAACATGGTTGCCCCGAGCAAGGACCACGTGTTGTAACGTGTCTAGTCCACCCAGGTGTGTGTCTAACATGGTTGCCCAGAGCTGGATCCACGTGTTTTTACATGTCCAGGCCGCCCAATGGGGGGTATCTAACATGGTTGTCCCGAGCTGGGCCACGTGTTTAACGTTCCGTAGCGTGTCCCCTTGGCACGTCCCGCGGTGCATCCCCATGGCACGTCCCTTGGCACGTTGCCTGGCGCGTCCCCTGGGACGTTCCGCGGAGTGTCCTCCTGGCATGCCCGATTGGCAAACGTCTCTGGGGCAGGTACTATATGCTCAGGCAGCTCGAGCTTAAGATCCAGATCAGTTCGGTCAGGACTCGGATGCAGAGGAGGACTCGATCCACAACGCTATAGAGCACGATCGCGGCATTTCACATCGCAATTCAGCACGGCCCAGCACAGCGCAACCCTCGTCACGGTACATCAAGATCGATACATTCAGCATTGCAATTTGGCACGTTCCATGGCATGTTCGTGGCGCGTCCCGTGGCGAGTCCCCCTGGTACGTCGCGCGGCGCGTCCCCTGGCACGTCCCGTGGCACGTCACCTGGCACGTCCCCTTGCGCGTCGCGCGGCGAGTCCCCTGGCACGTCGCCTGGCACGGCACGTTCTGTAGCGCGTCCTTTTGGCACGTCCCGCGGAGCGTCCCCATGGATCCCTGACTGCAGTGGGGGCCAATGCCAAGAGGCGCCCTGCCTCCTCCTCCTCCTCCTCCTCCTCCTCCTCCTCCTCCTCCTCCTCCTCCCTCCGTAGCCATTTTGGCTCAAGTCCGTCCCCTCCGTGGGATCTCGGACTTGGGCCGAAATGGGTTCCACAGCTGTCTCGCCCAAGGCCTCCTGGCCAAGCGCAGCGCCGCCCGCCGCCGTCGGCCGCGTCTCCATATGTCCATGCTCGCGCACGCTCGGGTGATCCCGATCGGTCTGGCGCTGCTGCAGCTGCTCGCGCTGTTCTCGCTGCACAGTGGCCTAGCGGTGATGCCCCACTGCCGATCGCAGGCCGCGGCTCATGCTCGCCAATGCCGTGCGATGCAGCTGGGATTCAGTCGTCGCCCCCTCCGTGTACCTCTTCGGCTTCACGATCTACTTCCACCTGCTTGTGCACGTCACTTGCCGACCAAGCTCATCCCGCTCTACCCGCTGGGCGTCTGCGGCAGCCATGAGCTCCAAGAGGTTGCGGACTTCATCCAGCGGCGTCGTGTGCAAGATGGGCACCATGATGGTGCTGGACCTCTGCGCGCTGCGCTGCCCGTCCGAGCTGACCTACGTCACGGAGCTGGCCCTCTGCCACCACCCGCACGTCAAGAACATCGCGCTGCTGACCCCGACGCCGATGGTGTCGCTGACGCTCTACTGCATGACTTTCGCCACGTTCCTGGAGCCGCCCTTGGCCGTGTTCCCCGTGGCGATGCCGCGCCTGGAGCTCTTTGCAACGGTGCTGGACCGCTTCCCCAACACGTTCCTCTACATGGAGCTGGGCCTCTTCCTCGGTGTCGCGCTGGCGTTCCTGAACCTGCTCTGCATCCCACTGCCGCCGGTGGTGCTCATCCTCGTGACGCTGGTGATGTTCCCGATGCTCGTCGGCCCGTCGTGCATGCCGCTGCCGCTGGTGGCGCTCAACCTCGTGATGCTCCTGTTTCGCGAGCCGCCGCTGCTGGTGGCGCCCGACCTCGTGCTGCTGGCGATGTCCGCGCTGCTCTCCGTCCACTTGTCCGCGAATGACATCGAGCTGCACGGCGCAAGACGCTACTCCATAATAGGCCGCTCATACGCTGCTTCGACGCGTGGCTCGACCTTGCGGAGTGCGACCTGACAGTAGAGGACACTGCTGCCCGTGATGATGCCGCCGCTGGTGGCGACCCAGTCCCCGAAGACACCGCCGAGTGCGGCGAACAACATGTTCTCGCAGCCGCCTTGCGTGGCGACCTTCCCGTACAAGATCTTCCTGACCATGATCGTGGAGCCGCTGCCGCTGCCCACCCCGACTGGGCTGTCCCAGGCGCCAAGTTTTTGCGACGCTCGGACATCATCCAGATCAGCGGCTGCAGCTGGTCACATCATAGCCTGGCGAATGAATTGGTTTGCACCGCAGCGGAGCTTCAGCATGGTGTTCTGCATGATGTTGCACGGGCCGTCCTGCCGCCTGGAGTGGCTGCTGCTGTTCCCCACGACCTCCCCGAAGTACATGCACGTGATGTTGATTTCGACCACGCATGGGGGACCTGCTGGGACTACGTACGCAAGGAATGGCACGGATCGGCTGCAGCAGCCCATCCCTCACAACCCGAAGCAGCTCTGCATGATGATGCACGCGCGCTTCTGCCGCCTGGTGTGTGGCTGCCGCTGCTCATGAGGCCCCCGCGGCCACCCGCCAATGTAGCCCTGAGCCCCCCGTGCGGCTCACCTCACCCCGCTCGTCCTTGTCGCCCTTCCCTCCTATTCCTGCTTTCCCAGCTCTCCACCAGGATCCTCACGATTTACATCCCGTTCCTAGTGCATGGCCCGATGCTCCTCACAGCATGCCCGTGGCCAGAGCGACGAGCGCTGACGACCGCACGCTGGAAGTAGGCTGAGCGCGAGCTGCGGCGAGACCCGAGCAGACATCTTGCCCTCGTCTCGCGTCTTGCCCGCTTGCCCTCGTCTCTTCCTCTTGGGATGCGGTCACTCCTCCTCCTCCTCCTCCCTCCTCCCTCCTCCCTCCCCCCTCCTCCCTCCTCCTTCCTTCTCCTCCTCCTCCTCCTCCTCCTCCTCCTCCTCCTCCTCCTCGTCCTCCTCCTCCTCCTCCTCCTCCTCCTCCTCCTCCTCCCTCCTCCCTCCTCCCTCCTCCCTCCTCCCTCCTCCCTCCGAGCCCGAGGCGGGGCAAGCGAAGTTGCGGCCTCTGCGCCACGTGGGGAGCTCTCTGGGCCCTCCGCGGGCCGACGGCCCCGCGCCACGTGGGGAACCTGACTGCAGCGGGGAGCCTGACTGCAGTGGGGAGCCTGACTGCAGTGGCGGCCCGTGCCCATGCCTCCAGGGTGCCCTGGGTCTCTTGGGTCTCGATGGTTTTGCCGTGGCAAGCGCGACGTTCCCGCGCCAGGAATCCATGGACGTCCTGGGGTCTCAGGGTGGGGTCTCCGGTGGGAGGTTGTTCTTGTGGACCGGCCCCTGCTGCAGTCTTGGGCCTGGAAGTGTTTTCTTCGATATGAGAGACTTTTGGCCCGGTCCTACGTGTTCGACTGTTAAGCTGCGTGCGGGCACGTCGCGTGGCTGCGGCGCATGCCGTGAAGGATGCATGGGGAAGAGGCGGAGCCATGCACGAACGGAGGGCCTGACTAACGACCTCTATTCTTGCAGGGGTGCCCCCCCCTCGACTTCTTGATCCTTAATCTCGAAAAAAATCGCGCCAAAAAACATACACTTTTGGCGTTCCGCTCGGATTTCTTGGATCCGCGCAGGGCTCCCCCCGGCGGCGCCTTTGGCGCCGCCCCTGGCGCGCTCCGCGCGCCAGGGAGGGGGGTCCAGCGCAGATCCAAGAAATCCGTGCGGAGCGCCAAAAGTTTAGCTATGTCTGTGGCTTTCTTCCTTCTTCTATGATCAGCTAGAGGGGGCGGAGAGGAGCCAGGATGCGGAAGAGTCGCGCCTGGGCACTCCACCCGCATCTCCTGGGCCCCCCCCCCCTGCCGAGGATGGCGGCCGTGTACCAGAGGCGGCCGCCCCGCGAGAACGCGCTCAATTACGAGGTCGCCCTGCGAAGGGGGGTGGCCTCTTGCCGGTCCGACGACGAAATCTGCACGGGCCGGGGGCTCGTAGAGGGGGGAGTGCCCCACGGCACGCCCATGCCAGGCGATCGCAAACATGGATCAAGGGGGCGTCGAGTAGCGACGGGTCCCGCTTCCGTGGGAGATCGCGGATTTCCGCTCGCGACAGCCGCATGTCGGGGAGGGCACCTCCCCCGATCCATGGATTTGGCGACCGCGCGCGCCAAATCCATGGATCGCTGATCCATGTCTGCGCGCCCCCGAGCAGAGGGGGGAGTGTCCCATGGTGGGGTCAGGGAGCGGGCCCAGCTGGACGCTCACATGGCCTTCTTCCGGGGCTCCGTCCGGAGCGGCTTCTCTTCTAGCACCACCTCGGCCCCTGCCCCACCATCAGGCAGTCAACCCGCGCAGCAGGGATGGGCAACCTTCACAGTCAAGAGGGAAAGAAACACACAGACACAATTAATCGGCGATTCCCCAGAAAATATGGGAAAATATGGGAAGTGGGGGGGAAGACAAAAACCCAGAAAATATGGAAACATATGGGGAATCATTTTATTTGTGTGTATTTATTTGTGTGTCCCAGGGCCCCTTCACACAGATGGTACCCTTGCATCCTGCCTCCACGGTCGCCCTTTGCCGCTTTCGTTGGCCGGGCCCCGCTCGAAGAGTGTTGGCACGGGCCTTCCCGAGGCCCTTGCCTCCCCCTTCTGCGGGGTGGCTTGTGCAGTCGGCCCAGAGCAGCAGGTCGACCCTGCCAGATCAAGGGTGCCCTCGTGTCCGGTGCCTCGCGGCCCATGCTGCCCACATTCCTGTGGCAATGTGGCCCTCGGAAGGGTCTTGTGTCCTCTCGCGTGTCCTCTCCGATCGGGCCCGACTGTACGTCCCGCCGACAGGGAGGCACCGTGCTGCCTCGCCCATCTGGCCGAATGCAGTCGGGGCCCCGAAGAAGGAACCCTTTTCGTTGGGGAGGGGCTCCGTGTTCCTTAATCGTTTCGCAGCTTGCCTTGGATTTTCCAGAGGTTTTCGATGCGACATCGAAATTTAACTTATGGAGAATAGGGGCCTCGTTCCTTATTTGAGGTTCCTTAGGTCAACGCCCCGACTGTAACCAACAGCGGCGCAGCAAGAAGCTTCCGAAGGTCCGCGCGGCTTCCCTGGCTCGGCTCTGGCCCCCCCCGGCTGGCGTCTCCGGCGCGCCACGCCTGGCGCACACCGCGCGCCCAGGAGGGGATCCGGCGCCGGTCCAAAAAGTCTGCGCTGACCTTCGACAGTTTGCGTTGATGCGGTCTGCTGTTAAGTCGGGCCGGTCCCTCTACAGGGGGAACATGCAAAGATAAAAGGGGAACATTCAAACAACAATAAAAACATAGTCTGGGGACTATTTCTGGACTCTTTTGGGGCATCTTTGGAGTATTTTTCGCGTATTGCTTATCTTTCGTCCAAGATCACCCTGTAGGGGGACAGGCCCGACCTAGGTCTACCAGGTCTTGGCCTGAGCTCCAGCCGCAGCCCGAGCTCAAGCCCGAGCCCGAGCCAGAGCCCCTGCCCGCAGCCCCAGCCCGCGCCCGAGCCCAGGCTCGAGCCCCGAGCCAGAGCACGAGCGGGGCGTTCCAGAATCGGAAGTGGACAGACCTCCTACCCTGACACGTCGACTAAGGAATTTGCCGTTTGCGGTTCGCGAGAGGGCGTCGCGGCCGTCATTTGTGCGGGTTCAGGTCCGTCGGTTTCGGTCCCAGGTCTTTTTCGCTAGAGGGAGGTTTACGAAAGGGAGGTGTGTCCACCGCCGACAGAAGCGCTGCCGCAGGTACCGCCTCTCGAGGACGGGAGGTTTGGGTGCGCCTTCGGCATCTGGGGGCCCCTGCCGGGCCCCGGAGCCGTCGAACAACGAACCAGGCTGAAGAGCCGATCCTAGAGGGAAGGGGTCCAGACCCGTGGGGGCCGACGTTGTGGGACAAATCGCAGCGCCGGGGGCCTCGGCAGAAGGCTCGGCAGGCCTTCTGGGCCTTCCGCGAAGTGCTTGTCGGAGCCTCCTGCGAAGACGCCGGCCGCCCCTCAGCAGGTCGGAGGGCTCCCGGGAAGCCCGGCCGCCTCCCGAGAAGAAGGCCCGCCCCCCCTCTCGCTGCTCCGCCGGGCGTGCCGCCGCCTCCGCCTCCGCCCTGCGGCGCGCGGGCGGCGGCGCGCCAGGTCGCTGCCCTGGAGCCCATGGGCGCGGTGCGCGAGGCGCTGCGGGAGTTCGGCTACCCGGCGTGACGCCCCGGCGCGGTCTCGCCGCCGCCTGTGTCGGGGGAGCGTAAGACTCGGGCAAGCCGGAACTCGGGTTTGTCGACGTTTTTTGACGAGCGCGTCCTGGATTTTGACGGTCCAGCTCTCGTGGGATGTTTGCAGTGGGAGTTCGCGTGAAATTTCAGATTGCGTCTCGTCATTCTTATGATGGACCCCGTCAGGCCAACCCGCGTCCCCCGTACCCGAGTTTTACGTCTCCCCGACTTTGGTGAGTTGCTCCGTCGCCGAGGCGTTCGGGTGCAAGGGGGGGGGTGGGGGGAAGTGTCAGGGGTGGGCGAGGTGGGGCAATGGCAATGGCGGTTGGCCTTCGGTCAAGTGTGACGTCGGGCCTGTCCCTCTACGGGGGGAATGCTCAACAATAGTAACATTATCCCAGTGCGACCCTACCTAGGAGTTGGAGCCCCTAGGAAAGCAGCATTAGTAGTAACAGTAAAGCTAAGCTAAAGCTAAGCTACAGCTAAGCTACAGCTAAGCTAAAGCTAAGCTAAAGCTAAGCTAAAGCTAAGCTAAAGCTAAGCTAAAGCTAAGCTAAAACTAAGCTAAAGCTAAGCTAAAACTAAGCTAAAGCTAATCTAAAGCTAATCTAAAGCTAAGCTAAAGCTAATCTAAAGCTGAGCTACAGCTGAGCTACAGCTAAACTAAAGCTAAGCTAAAGCTAAACTAAAGCTAAGCTAAAACTAAATCTAAGCTGAAGCTAAGCTAAAGCTAAGCTAACGCTGAGCTAACGCTAAGCTGAAGCTAAGCTAAAGCTAAGCCAACGCTAAACTAAAGCTAAGCTAAAACTAAGCTGAAGCAAAGCTATTTCTAAGCTAAAGCTAAGCTAAAGCTAAGCTAAATCTAAGCTACAGCTAAGCTAAAGCTACGCTAAAGTTAAGCTAAAGTTAGGCTAAAGCTAAGCTAAAGCTAAGCTGAAGCTAAAGCTAAAGCTAAAGCTAAAGCTAAAGCTAAAGCTCCCAGGGGACTGGGGGAACAGCGGGGCGAGGACTGGGGGAACCGCCCGGGGCGTGTTCCACTGCCCGGCCCCTTTAAGCTAAGAGAGTAAGAACCCTTCTAGGCAGAGCCTAGGTAGGGAAAAAAGAGTCTGGGGACTATTTTTTTGGAATGTGTTTTTGGCCATTTGGGAGCATTCTTTGAGTATTGCTTATTTTTCGTCGAAGCTCCCCCTGTATGGGGGGCACGCCTGACTCAAGCCTTCGGTGGGGGGGGGGCCCTCGTCGCCACGGCTGGACGCCGCCGGGAGGGCTGCTTCGTCCGGACCCCGGGAGGGGTTCGGGGAGCCATTTTTTTGAGCTGCCGTGGTCTCGGCTCGCCCGGCGTCCCGGAGACGGTGTGGCGCCGCGGCACCGGGCGCTCTGCTCGCGGACGCTCGAGGACCTTCGGGGGGGAAAAAAGCACACAGACACGATGCATCGCCGATCCCCAGGAAAAGAAGGGAGAATATGGGAGACGGGGGGGGAGACACAGACCCAGAAAATATAAGGAACATTTGGGGAATCCTGTGGTCTGTGTGAATTTATTTTGTGTGTCCCAGGGCCCCTTCAGAGGACCCGCCGGGCGGAGCGGCACAGACTGGTAGGCAAGATCAGGGATCTTGCAGATGGCACAGAGCATGCGCAAGGACAGCGGATCGATATTGTAGGGTTAAGTCGGGCCTGTCCCTCTACAGGGAGAATATTCAAGAATAGTAAAAAATAGTCTGGGAACTATTTTCCTAGTATTCTTTGACCATTTGGGAGCATTGTTTGAGCATTGTTTATTTTTCGTCGAAGATCCCCCTGTAGGGGGACAGGCCCGACCTAATTGTAGGGATCGTGTGGGAAGGATGGCGAGCACACAGAAGCAGGCACCCCCCCGAGCGGACAAGCGGAGAGCATCGAGGCAGAGGAAGAAGTGCACAAGTAACCGCAGGCACGCTGGACAGACCCACTCATCAGACAAATAGCCAATCGCCCAAACACACGGCGGTCAAATGCACAAACCAACCAATATAAACACACTCATTCGCAAACAACCGCGTACACAATAGAACAACTAACCAACTAACAGGTCAAGCAATCAAGCCCGCAAGCGAGCTGAGCAATGTTGAATACGCTAGCCAGCCAGACCTAGCACCGCCATGCGAACAGGCGCACGCACAACCACAGCCACAACAGGAGTTGATGAAGCAACGATCGTAACCATACACACCTACACAACCAAACATACAAGCAAACTCAACATCGACATCGACACCACAAGCACACTCAAACATACAAGCAAAAGAGCAAGCGACCAGGCACATTGACAACCACCAACACGTATACACGCATGCAAGCGAGCAAGCAGGCAAAGCAGCGTACCCTTGCGGAGTTCAAGGCCAACAATAATGCTTAGCAGCGTCTTCGCAGGTTGGGCGGGTGGTGTCTCACACAGAGGCTTTGTGGTGTGCTTGTGGCTGCACGAGCGGGGGGCTGGGCAGGACGGGGAGGGAAGCTGAGGAGCGATGGGGGAAGGATATGCTCAACAAGGGACGGGGGCGAGGGAGGAGCTGGCGATCGAGCTGGCATCATCTGCGCCTTGGATGAGGGCTACGTGGCTCCCTTCTTTCCTCCCTTCTGCTCCTCCTCGGGAAGCGGTTGCTCGCATCCATCTCTGGCGCGCCCTCCTCCGCCGTGTGTCGAGCTTGCGCATACTTTTCCGCGGCCGAGCTGCCGTTTGTCATCTTTCTCATGCGATTCCCAGGGGCCGCCTCATAGGCTGGGTCCCGTGCATGGTTGTTGGGCACCAGGGGCTCAATCCGAACGTCGCCTTTCTCGCAGCCAGTATCAAGGAGTGTGGTGGCACCAAGCAGTGGATCGTGGCCCTGGACCTTCTCGAAAATGCTATTCGGTCGCATGGGCCACTCCACAGTAGTACCGTTCTCTACGCAGCCACCATCAATGCCTGTGGAAAAAGCAAGCAGTGGCAGAGGGCGGTGTCGCTGTTGGGTGCGCTGCGGGAGGCATACTTGCACCTGGACGTCATCAGCTACAATATCACAATCAATGCGTGCGGGAAAAGTAAGCAGTGGCAGTTTGCGGCGTCGCTGTTGGACGAATTGTGTGGAGCAACGCTGGAACCGGACGTCATCAGCTTCAATGCCGCAGTCACCGCGTGCGGAAAGTGTGGGCAGTGGCAGCATGCTTTATCATTGTATCGCGATTTGTGTGACGCGAAGCTGCAGCCCGACATCATTGACTGCAATGCTGTGATTAGTGCTTGTGAGAAAGGCGGCCAGTGGCAGCAGGCGTTGGTGTTGTTGAGGGAGGCGTCTGGAGAATACTTGCGACTGGACATCGTAAGCTATGGTGCTGGAGTCAGCGCGTGCGAGAAAGGTCGGCAGTGGCGGCGGGCGATATCATTACTAGACGAGCTTCAGGAAGCGAGGGTAGAGCCCGACACGATTGCTTTGAATGCTGGGATAAGCGCGTGCGCGAAAAGCGGACAGTGGCAGCGGGCGTTGATGGTCTTGACAGGATTCTGGGGGGCGTTGTTGGAACCAGATGTAATCAGTTTCAACTCTGCGATCAGTGCGTGCGAGAAATGCGGGGAGTGGCAGCATGCACTGGCGTTATTGAGCGCGCTGTCGGAGGCGTCGTTGGAGCCGACTGTTATATGTACTGCAATTCTGGTCGTCACGTGTGCGAAAGGGGCGAACAGGTTGCGAGCTGTGCCCCAAGCGCCCGAAGCGCCCCAGCGCTCTCTCCGACGGCTCCAGCGAGCCCCCTCCGGTGGCCCCAAGACGGCATCTGACAGCCCCAAGACAGCTCCGAGACGCTCCAGAGCGCGCAGGGACGGCCCAAGAGAACCCGAACGGAGCCCCACGACAGCCCAAGACGGCCCGACGACTGGCCAGGTGCCTTCGAAAACGGCCGAACCAGACCCCGATGGCGATCCCTGGATGCCAAAGTCATATATTTTCCGTGGGTTTTTCAGGTTTCCCGTCTTCTCACTATTTCGGACAAAGAACGGCCCCAGACGGCTCCAGGGACATCCCAGATCGCCCCAAGACGGTCCAGGACGCCCCGCCAAGTGCCCCAAGACGACCCCAGAGGGCCTGAAGATTACCCAGGAGAAGCCCACGACAGCCTCACAGACCCCCCGGTGGTCCCCAAAACAGCCCCAAGAGGGCCCCAGGAGTTGCCTAACAGGCCCCAAAGCGGGTTCCAAGACGGCCCGAGACCGCCAACATCGCCCCAGGACAGCACGAGAGGTCCCCGAGACGGCTCAGGAGATCCTCCAAGGCCCAAGAGGACCCCAAGAGCTGCCGAAGAGGGCTCGAGCGGGCTCCCAGACGGCGCGAATCATCCAACATAGCCCCCATACGTCCCGAGACTTCCAACATTAACAGCCCTCCCAGAGGGCCCCGGGACGTCCCTACAAGCCCCCACGACGGCCCAGAACTCCCAAATGGCCCCAGAAACGCCCCGGGGGCTCCAGAACGACCGCCAAGAGCCCCCCCAAGGACGGCGGGCCGCCCGCAGTTCCGGATGGGTCAAGAACCTTCGCAACACCATGCCATTCCTTCCTAGGACCGCTCCGATGCCCTGGAGTCTCCCAAGAGACTCCGACGCCTGCCAAGGAGCTTCGAGCGGAGCGCCATCAGCCACGGCACCCTTTCGCCGCCTCTCTGGAACCCCAGAAGTCCCAAAGAAAGCCGCAAGATCTCCCAGCTCCTGACCTCCAGGGGCATGTGAGTCCTGATGTGGTGAGCGGCCAGCTGGCCGCAGTGGCCCCCAGAGCCCTCCCGAAGTTTTTGTCGATTCCGAAGGCTTTCGCCAGCAGCGAGCGCTTCAGAGAGCTTCAGAGGCGCGGCTTAGTCTCGGAGGTTTCGATGGAAGGCTCAGGGCTGCAACTAGCGAGTGCGGATTTACCAGACAATCCAATAGTTGTTGCTCCCAGCCCAGGTCGTGGCGGGAGGGGGGGCGAGGGGTGGTCGTGGGAAGCGTCCAAACGGCAACGGACAGCAGGTCAAGTTTTACGTCCGTGGCCTGGAGGGTTCCTCGCGCCTGGGAGCGGGGGCCCCGCGCAGGCTGGCTGCGTGCCGGCACAGGGGGTCCCCGCCGGGGCCCGTGTCGTAGTCTTGCGGTCTGTGGGTTGATGCAGCTGCCTTCTCCTTTGCTCAGCCAGTCCCAGCTCAGCACTTGTCAGCCGTCCGAGTGCTCTTGTTTTGACAGGCGCGCTGGCTGGATTCCGCGGGCTTCAGTCTGCCAGTCCTGCTCGCTCCTGCTCCTCACTCGCCCCTCCTCTGCCCCCCGCACCCCAGCACGTCTCGGGCCTTCTCCCGGCGAGTGGGGGTGACGAGGGGGAGGTTCTCTCTTTTCTCTGCCCTGGCCTCCTCGCCTGCGAGCCCGCACCTCCCTCTCTCCGAACTGCCCTCTTCCTCCTGCGCCCCCCTTTTTGATCCGGGGTTGACAAGAGGAGGAGGAGGAGGAGGAGGAGGAGGAGGAGGAGGAGGAGGAGGAGGAGGAGGAGGAGGAGGAGGAGGAGGAGGAGGAGGAGGGGAGGAGGAGGAGGAGGAGGAGGAGGAGGAGGAGGGAGGAGGAGGAGGAGGAGGAGGAGGGGGGACCTTTCTGCTGTCGTCTTCAGCTCGGTTTCCTCCTCTGGGAGCCTGCACGCCTTCCATCTCCAGTACCGCTCTCCTCCTCCTCCTCCTCCTCCTCCTCCTCCTCCTTCTGTTCCTCATCCTCCTCGATTCCTTTCATTATGTTGTGTCTGCCTGTCGCACCCAGGGGCGAGTTTTTAGGGTGGGCTTGGCGCTGCGCTCGAGAAGTCCTTACCATTTGTGATTATGAAGATTTAACGTTGGCAACCGTTTCACAGATGGAGGGCGGGTGGTTTTCAACATGTGGCTCTCGCTTTAGCGCGGCGCACATCCGTGTTGATACATTGCAAGAGCTTCGCGGATTGAGGGTGGGCCGTTTTCAAAATGTGGCTGTCGCCTTAGTGTGGCGCACATTCGTTTAAAACAATTGCAAGAGTTTCGCGGATTGAGGGCGACCCGTTTTCCAAATGTGGTTCTCGCCTTAGCGTGGCGGGCATTCGTTTTAAACGTTGCAGAATTTTCACATCTTTAGGGCGACTCGTTTTCAAAATATGGTTTTCGCCGAAGTGCGGTGGACATTAGCTTTACAAAGCTGCAAAGGGTTCCACGGATCGAGGGCGGCTCCTTTTCAAAATGTGGTTCTCGCTTTAGCGCCGCGCACATTCGTTTACACTATTGGCAAGCGTTTCACATATTCCCATCATCAACGTACCAGAAATTGTGTTTTGAACGGATTCCGGATTATGCGTGTGCAACAGTTTCGTTGATTCGCTGCGTTGAAGACCCAGGAATGGCGTTCCAGCACGATTCAGGATCGTCAAGATGCAGCAGTCAAGTTGATATGTGGCTTTGGAATCCCGA